ATAATAATAATAATAATATTAATAATAGTAATAATAATAATAATAATAATGCGAAATAATTTAGAGTCTCTTCTACCTCCGAACGGAATTCTGAATGTGAAGTTGGCAAAACGAGGTAATAATTTGGGTATCGTAACAAAAAGCGAGACCGATGGACGCAAAGGCGAACCGGTCATTATATCTGATATCCGAACGGGGAGTGTTGCGCAACGGTGAGTACTTATTCTAATTAGATTGCAGTTACATTAATAATGAGTATAGAAATTATAATAATAATAATAATACTTTATTGAACACTATGAATATGGATTAATTCGTTCAATACGCAAATAAATGGAAGGAATATTAGGCATTAGGCATAAGGGTTTTAGACAGTAATAGATAGTGGTAGATACTGTGAGTAGGCAACGAAAAAGTCAATGAATGAAGTGAATTTTCAGATGTGGTTCGATAAGTGTAGGTGATCGTATATTAGCAATAGATAACATTCCATTGGAGTCGTGTACCGTCGAAGAGGCGATGCGACTTCTGCAACGTTGCGGTGATGTCGTCAAGTTGCGCATTCGAAAAGCCATTTTGCAGGTCAGATTAATTAATCGCGTGTTCTGTCGTTCACATGCTATATCGATGATGCTATCATTATAATAATAATAGTAATAATAATGCTGCTATCGATAAAGATCTTCATAATATTAATACAAATAAATGATTGTAACAATATTACATTAGGATGAAAATGAGAGTTCGCATACGGTTGTGTACTCGATTGAGCTCAATCGTAAAGGACGTCCGATGGGAATAACGATAGCCTCAAGGGGTGAGCGTGGTGATCCGGTTATCATATCGCAGCTGGCACCTAGGGGCTTAGCTGAGAGGTCTGAGAGGCATTTTTTATTTTATTTATTGTTCACGTGAAATAATTACTTACTTATGTCTATGAACAGTAATAATATAATAATTTGATAGGACCGGAGCACTTCGTGTAGGTGACCGTATATTGGCGGTGAACGGTGAGTCAATTGAAGGAAAGAAAGTATCGGATGCGATGCATTTGCTGCAACAAAGTGGTGATATTGTTACTATCAAGATATCTAGATATATTGATCAGAATTTTAATCACCCATATTCCAATTGTTAGTTTTGTGTGTTTTATTATTATTATTGTTTGTTTGTTTAAGTTGAGTAATTTATTCTAATGATATTAATATAATAATAATGTTTGATATAGCGTATTACCCGTTGAATAGTTCGAGTTGTGGACGATATCGAATGATGGGTGCTGCTGCTATACCTCAAACAATACATTCCTCCACTGGGCAAGTAACAGATTCATATAACGAACCGCCCGATAAACTTGGGTATGGGTATTTATTGAGTTATACTGTGTGTTATTGTTGTAATTATGCACGGTTGTATGTGATGGGTGTTGATCATTCAGGACACCGATTCAAAGTATCGATAGCGCAGTTGAGAGTTTAGAGGACTCGCCCGTGCAACTGCAACAACACACCTCGAAATCGTCGTCTGCTCAGCACCGCTTCAGTGCAGACGATCGTATTAGTAATGTGCAGCTGCAGTATTGTGCGTTATTATGTGTACTCTTGATGAGTTGTCGTCATTATTGTAACTGATAACAAGTGATATGCTCTTTATGAGTGTTGTAGTGATCGTGATAAGTGATCTGATCTGATCTGATCTGTTTTTTCGTGATTGGTTGTAGTTAATTGATATAATTTAAATTGAAGTATGTGAAGATGAACGAAACAACGACTGGTCGAATATAAGAGATACAGCTGCTAATGATCATCATCACAATACTACAGCTGATGATAACAGAAATGAAATCAGTAATCATAAGAATGGCTGGGATAGTGGTATGAGTTCGACAACAGATAATAATTATTGTATGATGATGGAGTGTTGCTCTTGTCAAAATGCAACAACCAGTAGTAGTGCAGCTGCAGCTACTGATGACTGGTTTGTTGCATTCGTTATTGATTGATATTGTTTGCAATATTGTAAGTTATGATTTATTAAATGTTGAAGGGTAAAAATATTGGAAGCACTGGAAACAGTGGGTGAGGCCGAAATGCTAAAGAAACTTGAGGACAGCATCATGAGTGGGGCGGTACCACCACCGTGTAGTCATCTGCCACATTCCACTAGTGGCACATCGAATAGGCATGTTTTTTAGCGTTTATTGTTTGTGAATGATATGACGAGTTGAAAGAAAGCGTTTGAAAATAGTAAACTGCTGGCGTAATTTTTTTTTGTAAATTTTATTTTATTATGATGTTTATGTGAAATGTTAAAAATTTCTGATTGATTGATTGATTTGACTGATCGATTGATTGATTTTAGTCAACTGAATATGCGTCCGCATGCTCTTGGACATGCAGCCACATCATCTGGAGTGACGGCGGCGACTACACAAGCCGCAGGTCTAATCAGCTCAAGTGGGGGTGGTCTGCTCTCACCGTGTGCGTCAATTCTCGGACGACAACAACCCCCTTTCACCCCTTCAAATACGAACACAATCTTAAAACATCCTCCGTTAACTGGCTGTGCTACCTCGTCAACTACCGCCCAACTATCGTCTAGACCATTGAGTTGGTTTTGCATTCCGATATAATAATAGTAATAGTAATAATAATAATTGTAATAATAATAGTAATAACATTGATACTAAGAGTTGGGGGAACATTTCAGTGAGTGGATCAGTTGGTTCAGATCGAGGCGATTCGTTGAGCGTTCATTCGGGTGATTCGTTGACGGGTTGTTCGCTATCTTATGAGATTCCTCCATCGATGCCACCGCCGAAACCACCTCGTTATGAGCAACAACAGCAGCAGCAGCAGCCGCTAGCACAAGCCGCATCATCATCCGCAGCAACAGCAGTAGTTGGAACCGGAGCGGTGGTATCGACATTGCTTCAACAACCGTGTATTTTAAATCCACTTAGTGTACCACCTGTCGGCGTTGCTACGGCTTCAGAGACGCCTCTTTTCACGCAATCCGCCTCTTATGCAATCAATTCACCGATGACGTCGTCGTCACGGAATTTGCTGAGCAATCGAGTGAGCAATTGATAATACTCTATCACTGATTTATTTAGGAATCAGTTTTACTGATCACCACTATTACGTTTATACAATAATCAATAACAAATAGATCAAAATCGAAAGATTTTTGCAGTCAATAAAGCCGTCCACATCGGGTTTAATGTTGCATGAATTGAATGCAAAAACAGATTATTTTAAAGAGGCTGCAACAAGCTCAGTGATTGCTGCTGCTCCATCAACAGCAGCAGTTACATGCACTGAAAAACAACCAAAAGGTACAACGCATCGAGTGGTTTTACATAGGGTAGGTGGTATTATTTCATTCTCATAACCATCAAATGATCGTATGATTGCGTAAATGATCGATCACGCGTATGTACGCTTGCTTGTGTTGTTGAGATGGTTTGAGAAAATAAAGTGGTTTGGTTTTAGGATCCCGCAATGGGTGGTTTTGGTTTTAGTGTATCAGACGGGGCCGGTGATAATCCAGGTGTCTTTATAAACGCCATTCTGCCCGGTGGTCCTGCGGATCGCTCAGGACAAATTCAACCTCTTGACAGGATTTTGCAAGTGAGTGAGCTAATGAAATTGATACTTCATATGATGATATAATATGATATCCGTTGTTATGTTATGTTATTGTTTTGGTAAATTTTTCAGGTGAACGATACATCGTTGCAATTTTTGGATTGCGATTTGGCAGTTCCACTGTTGAGCGTTGATCGCATAGAGCTGTTGTTGTATCGAGACGGCACATTGAATTGTATAGACGAGGTGGACGAAGCCATCAATAATACTGCCGCGTTGAATAGGTTTAATCTGAAGGATTCGGCGGTTTGAATGTATAATTTGTTACGGTACGGTAATCGCTTCTTTGGAAGAGATATTTCAAGCACGCGCGCACGCCTTCTTCCGATTAATACTAGTGATTAATTATTTATTTATTATTCTCATTATTGATATCATTTTTTATTGTTTGTCATTATTTATTATTATTATTGTTGTTATAATAATAATTATTATTATTATCATTATTATTGTTAGTGGTGTTGCGATTATTGCTGTATTCATTATTGTGATGTTGATATTGTTATTAGTATGTGTGATGATTGCCATATAATATTGTACGTATGTCTTCGATTAATGATTTCGGATTTAATGAGCTAATTCGATCGGCAAGATGAAATTCAAAGCAATTAATTCTTGTCGGGTGTATGAAGGAGAATTTGATTTAAAGTTTTAGAGCGTACTGCTGCAGCATATTGAGAAATAAGTAATAATGCGACGCAGCAAATAATCTCGATTACGAATTTCCATTTCGAGTGGGATGGCATGGTTGTTGTTAATTTCAATGGTATTTTAGAAATTGAAGACGTCCAAACAGCAACGTGTTTTATTCAGTTGCGCCTATAGCGAAAGGTTAGTGGCTGGTGAAAATGTCTGTCTTCGTTGACGTTCTGTTGAGAATGCAAATGAGAGTGTTCCTTATTGATAGCAGTATCAATAATGACAGTAGTAATACTACTAATAATAATAGTAATTATAATTATAATAGTAATCGCAATAACAATAATATTTGATTTAAAACAATATGATACGTCGTTCTATGCAAAATATACATACATACCTACATATAATAATGAAATAAATAATGTATGAATAAATGATTATTGATTTGTGATGTGTTGTGAGCTGAAATGATCTCAGCAGCTCTTATGCAGCACATAAAACTGTGCGTTGAACCCCTGAAAACAAGGACAGCAGCAGGGTGACGGCCACTTGATAAAACTTATAATGGTTAGAGAGTTAGTTGATTACATGATTTGAACACAGGCAAACAACTACAAATACTTTTTATTGATGTTGCTGCCTGCATCAGCTAGTCAGCCGGTTGGTTGGTTGTAACGAACAGGCAAAATGCGACGAACGGCTGCACGAGGATAGATAATTGGCATGTGAATGGAATCTGGTCTGGTCTGATCTGATCTGATCGATTGAACATGGGTTGAATGGACTCGCAGATTCAATGGCACTTAAAAATAGATCATGAATAGGTAGGTCAGCAACAATGTTTGTTTGTTGATTTTTATTCGTGTTCCATCGATCGATCGGTAATTATTTATCCGTCGTATGCACACGTTTGTATAGATCAGTCAAGTAGTGCGTAATTCAGTCGACTGGCCAAACTCCTTGGAATCAGTGAGGTGAGTCACATACGAATCTGGATCAGTGCAGACGGATGGATATGCAGGCGGCTCATGAATAGATAGCTGCATTTGTTTTCGATAATGATAGCCAGCCATATTTATAAGTTATAATTACGACAATATTATAATATCGATAATAATATAGTAGTGTCGATAGTAAAGCAGTAAGGCAATAATAATAATAATAATAATAACAATAATAATAATAATAATACCAATAATAATAGCAGTAAAATAATACTTATTGTGTGTTCTATCCTATGGATGAGTGCATTGAAGTGACCTGATTTAGTTGAATGGGTCGGGTCGGTGAATAGATTCAATAGAAAATCACAACGAAAACGCAATAAAGCTATCTGCATCTGATTGAGTGCATGATGGATATGGCATAGTTTATTTCTAATACTGCACTGAGCGAATCGAACATGGGCATATTCGGTGAGAAGGCGATCCCGATCCGGAATGCGGTGCATATTCATGCCTCGAATATGACTGTTGCTGTGTTACTGCTGCTGCTGATGTTATTTATTGGTGATGCATTAAGTGCAACCGGTTGGTAATTACTCTTATCATTGCAGATGTATTATAGGATGGTGCTGGTGATAATTATGAATAATTTTTCAGTGCTAGATGATGTTCTAACTCTAACGAAAAATGGAGTTAGAGTAGAAGTCGAGCCTGATCAGCTCGACTATCCTGCAGAAGTCGACTTGCGGCGTTCTTCAGCCTTCAGCAGCTCGAGCTCAAGCCGACCAAGCTCGAAGTTCGTGAACACCTTAAGATCATCACCACTGATTAGTTCGAGTGGCATTAGCAAATTTTGGGACAGAAACTTGGAAATCAACAATAGACGAGCACCTCAATTAGCACAGCCCACCTCAATAATGCCGTTATCAAGGTATCGCAAACTACACCACGGCGCTCTCTCATCATCAACAAGAAATAATTTGTCTAGATTTCACACCAAACAAGGTACGCTCACTACTACGCTATAATATATAGTTAATAAATTATAATAGAATATGATATTTCCCTTCCCATCAGTCCATCTGAGAGTATCATATCAAGAATAGTGACTTCAGGCTTAGGCAGCAATCCAAGCATCGATTCGGCGGAACCACCGAAGCTGAGCACATTCTCGAGGAATTTCACCGAACAACACTTAAATTTACGTGGTGAAAATTCATCAGTTTTATTCAATGACCGACGACAAGCATTGTCCTCCTCCTCATTATCGCCGCCGCCGCCGCCGTTATCGGATGATGACACTGGAAAAAAAATGTCGATGGTCTATTCGACTGGCGCCGATTTACAACGATTACCATTCGAAAGAGAACGTGCTATGGTCACAGAGAATACAAATAAAATGTGAGCATTGAAATGACTCGATGAAATGATTCAGTTATTCGGTAAAGAGTTGTGGTTATTTGTTGCTTTGCAGATTTCGGTGGTCGATAGATGATGATCAGCTGGCTGACATGTTGTCATCAACAACAATTTCATCGTCGCTGATACCGATTTCTGATAAGTGGCAGAGGCAAGCTGCTGCCACATGGTTTAATGAGCGACCGCCGCCGCCGATACCAGCAGCATCGATACCAGCAGCATCGATACCAGCAGCAGCATTTCGATTTCAATCGGCATCATTCGATCCACCTCTAAACAGCAGCGTCGTTCCCGTGCTGCTACGACGACGAACTAGTTCCCGTGCTCAAGAACTACCACCACTTGTACGACGACCACAACAAGCAGCAGCAGCAGCAGCACTTAACTTTCAGCAACAGTCTTCTTATTCAGCTGCTAGAGATGCAGCTGAAAAAGCAGCTCTAGCTGGTATTTCGGATTTATCTGCCGCAGCAGCAGCACATCGACGACCGCCGTATTCGACGTCGTCTACTAGCAGTCGGCGGCGGATATCAACAGCCAATCAAAAACAAAACCCTTCAAGTGTCATCGTAAGCCACCACCACCACCACAACCAGCTGAATCCATCCATCGCTCCTCACCAATCGCCGCATCCACAACAAAATTCAATCGTGCAATATTCACGTCTAGCGCCAGCTCCTCCTCTCAGACCTGTTTCTGCAACTTCCAATAATATTGTCGAGTCAATTTTCGCTCAGTCTCAATTGCGCCGACGAGGTCACATCGATAACGCTGCTAAACCGACTTATGTATCTGGTGTTTCAGTTAGTGATGCCGATGCACATGGTGCTACACTAGCGAATATTTTACGTAGTAGTGGTGGTGATATTTCTGGTAGTTTGCTTGCAAATCCAATTATGCCCACCATGATGGGTACGGGTTCGGGTAATG